GGTCAATACTTGGCTTCTCGTCTCTGCTATGTGGTGCAAAGATGTGGGGGAGCCTCCCCCTCCAGTGCCACTGACTGAGGCCCCCCTCTACCCTCACAGCCAGTGAGGAAGGAGCACCCTCCTTGTGGTGTGTGCCCCCAAGCACCTATGTGGCTCTGGGGCTGGAATGCCTCATCTTCCAGATAAGAAGATGCATTTTTCCCTCAAGCATCTCAAAGGGTAGTTATAAAGGCCAGATCAGAAGAACAGGGCTTAGAGACCTGAACTGAGATGGGAACAATTCACATCAATTTCAGCCTAACCCAGAACTGTGTCAACACTGCGCAGATTCAGTCTGACAGAGGCTCAGAGAACGGACAGGGTTAGTGACCCACCACCCACTGGAGCCACCCAGAACTTACGGTCTGAACCCAGCCGGGTTCTTTGGCTGCTCAAGAAAACCTCAATATTCTCCAAAGACAACAACAATCCAGAATCTATACAACAGAACATTCACAATGTCCAGCATATGATCCAGAATAACTTGACCTGCAGAGAGCCATAAAAATATGAAGACCCTCAACCTGATAAAGGGTGTCTATGAAAAATCTAGAGCTTACAGCATATTTAATGGGGAAAGACTAAGAGCTACATCTTGCAGCAGATACAAAAATGAAATAAAGATGGATCATATACCTAAAGATAAAACATAAATATGAAAGTTCTAGAAGAAAATGTAAGAGGAAATCTTTGTGATCTTAGATTCAGCAAAGATTTCTTAGATTCAGCACCAAAATCAAATGGATAGATTAAACTTTATCAAAATTAAGAACGTATGCTCTTTGAAAGACTCATTAAGAAAATGAAAAGATAAGGCACAGGCTTCTATAAAATGAAAACAATTTATGGAAGCTATTTACAAATTACGTACCTGTGAAGAGATATGCACCTGGAACATATAAAGAGCATTCAGCCAAGAAACTCAATCCGAAAAATGAGCAAGAGATTTGAACAGACACCTCAGCAAAGATATACAGGTGGCAAATAAACACACAAAAAACGTTCAAAATAGTCATCTGAGAACAGACAATTAAACCCATGATGCGATACCGTTCACCCCTATTACAACTGCTAACATTAAAAAGACTGACCATAGCAAGTGTTGGTGACGATGGGGTTCTCATCCTCTGCCGATGGGAATGTGAAATAATACAACCACTTGGGAAAATAGTAGGTAATTTTTAAATTAGCTAAACATACCTACCACATGATCAGCCATTCCCTTCCTAGGTACTTTTATCCAAGAGACAATGAAACATATGTTCACGAAAACTTGCCTGTGGGTGCGCTTAGCAGCTTTATTTGTGCAAACTAAAAATGGGACCAACCAATCTTCATTAACAAAGAACAGACAAATTGTGAGAAAGCCGTAGCAGGGAATGACTCGGTAATTGAAAGTAAAAAACGATTGATATATGCAGCAACAAGGATGGATCTTGAAATAATTAAGCTGAGCAAAAAGAGCCAGACAAAAAGAATATATGCTATGTGATTCTATTTATATGAAACTCCAGGAATGCAAACAATTTATAGGCACAGATGCAGATCCGTGGTTTGGGAATTGATGGAAATGTTTCTCATCCTGTCAGAGTGATGGTTTGGTGATTGTATACATATGTCAAAAATGACCAAAATTGCATCCTTGGAGTATGTGCAGGTTGCTGTACCTCAGATAGACTGCAGGGAAGGAATGGCTTTCTACAGTATAAATCCAGCGTCTCTTGGCATACTGATACCAAATGCCCATTCTTATAGCATCCATGTCATCCCCTATGCCGTGAACTGCCCAATTCAAATGACTAGCCACTTCCTACCCCTGCTGAGTTGGACCAACAGTCACAGAGCGCTAACTGTAATGCGACTGTGTATTTAATTTGAACTGTAGGAGAAGTACACCCCAAGAGTGATGGGGGTACTGAGGCAGGACGCATCCTCTCCTGGTCCTGGGGCTTCTCCCAAAGCAGCACCCGAGGCACAGGCTCCAGTGCTATCACTAGTAGGGGGTGGGACCCCAGTTGACGGCTGATCTGTGCCAACCTAACTGGTCGTGGGACAGCCAGATCACTGGTTAAACATTTCTGGGTGTGTCTGTGAGGGTGTATCTGGAAGACATGAACATTTGAAGGGGTGGACAGGACAAAGTCATGGCTCTCCTCAACGTAGGCAGGTATCATTGGTCCACTGAGGACCCACATGGAGCAAAAAAGGCAAGCAAACTTGAATTTGCTTTCTCTGCCTGGCTGCTTGAGCTGCTCAGCGGTCTTCTGTCCTTGGACCAGGGCTCAGACTTCGGCACTCCTGGTTCTCAGTCTTTGGACATGGGCCGGAAATCACCACCAGCATTCCTGGCTCTCCAGTTACAGATGGAAGATGGTGGGACTTCTCAGTCTCCATAATTGTATGAACCAATTCCTTATCAGTTCTGATGATAATAAATCTCGTCATATATGTATATGTGTGTGTATATATATATAAGTGTGCACATGGGTGTGTGGATATTGTAGCAATACCATTATAAATATAGCTATAATCTCTCATTGGTTCTATTTCCTTGGCAAACCCTACTAATACACCTAGGAAGCAGAAGTAAAGGACAAAAGCAACAAAGTGGAGAGTGGGAAAGCCATAGGAGGATGTATAATCAGGCATCTACGGGCTGGGTCTGTGAACTGCCTCCCGAAAACCCACATGATCCTTGTCTTGGGGTACCCCTTGGGCTTGAGAGGTGGGAAGAAAAGGATAAAATATATCCATTGACTCTTATCTCCCATTGGCCAAAGGCTCACACGTGGATTGAGGACTCCCCCCATGCTTTTAGGTTGTTTATACCTGTGTGCAGGCGCACGGTACCCCAAGGCACAAGTAAGGGAGGCCTCATTTTGTGTTTGGCCCACAGAAACCTGGAAGGAGACATTTCCTTAGGACAGTGAAGACAAGAGAATCTAAGATAGTGTGTGAGAGGTGTCTGATAAAAACTCCGGATGCCAGGGAGAGCCCCAGAAGGGGCTGATATCCTGGGGCCAGGCCTTGAGAATGAGTGGGGTTAAGGTTTCACACACAAGAGTGTGTTGTAGGGAGGCACTCGCAGGTGAGGGACAGCGAGGGCAAAGCCTGATGAGTCAGGTACTGATAACTCCTGACTTGTGGGGTTTGTGTGCATCACCCACAGGCGAGGGGGACTAGCAGGCTCCCTCGGGCTTGCTGACCTGGATACCCCCTTGGTGTCCACCTGGGTCGGGAGGGCTGCAGGGGCAGGGCACCTGTCAGAACTCTCAGTTTCCCCTTTGCTTCCGCGAGGATCCCAGGAGAGTTTCTGTCCTCCTTCCTCAACAAACCAGGGAGCATTTCTAACCCAGGGTGGTCTCTCCTCCTCCTGTTCCCCTTCTTGGACTGGAGCTTCTCTTGCATCCAATGCAGGTAACTTCTGTCTGAGATTCTCAATAAAGTTCTCTGGTCTAAGCTGGTCAGGCCTGGCTTGTGAATACAAAGGGAGCTTTGGACATTTTTAAGGAAGCTTTTTCTCTCTCCACAACGCTGCTTTCAAGACTGTTATCACAGCAAATTTGAGAAAGCCAGGCTGGCCTCCTTGTTCTAAAGAATACTTGTTCTCTCATTCTCCAGGCAATATGCCTCCTGGACTTTCCTCACGGTGGAAAGGCTGCAAGGCAACATACTTTAGGATGGGAGAAGAGAATTAAAAGCAGCCTTCTCAATCAAAATATCTACCAAATGGTGAAAAGATAACCAAATTATTGTATAGCCACAAATAGAATGTTACTCGGCAGTAAAAAAAGACCCAGCCCTGATACAAAAATGGGAAAATCTCAAGAACACTGTGCTAAGTGAAAGAAGCCAGATGCAGAAGGCTACGTAGTATGCAATTCAATATATAGAAAGTCTGGACAAGGCAAATCTATAGATTTGCAATCAGATCAGTGTTTGCCTAGGGCTGGATGGGGTGGGGGAGGGGAATGGCTGCAGAGGGACAGGAGGGACTTGGGGGTGATGGAAATGCTCTATGACTTGATTGTGGTGGAAATTACCCAACTGTATCCCTTGTCCAAAATGACTGACTCGTCCACTTAAAATTGGCAAGTTTTATTATATATACATAACACTTCAATGTAGCTGATGAAGAAGCAGCCTTTTTATATTTTAAAACATCAACTTCATTTCATATCTGTAATTGACCTCTTATCACCTGATTTATAATTTTAAGCTCCTGACTACTCTTGCTATCAAGCTTAAAACCTGCTTTGACACCCGCCCCCCCCCCCCCACCCGCTTCCTTCACCTGTGAACTCAAGGTTATTTTGAACACTCAGCTTAACCTTTTCTCCTAATACAGGACCTTCTTGACCCCCAAGACTGGGTTATGTCCCCGCATGCTGTGACCCCAAGCAGCTTCCACCTCTTGTTGGCACACTAGCAATTTTAATTTTAATTTTTAATTAATTCAGTTAAGCTGTTTGCCTACTTTCCATTTTCCCCACAAACCTGTACATTGGATTCCCTGGGCACGGTGCAGTATCGGGTACACAACTGAGCCTCCGTGAATGTTTGCTGAGTGTTTAGGCTCACAGTGAGTGTCTGTGGGGTGACGGGGGTTGTTTGCATGGAAAGGGAGGTAGGGCATAAAAACTGAGCAGAGATCTAGGGAAAACATGTGAACAAGGCTGGATCCTGAAGGGCAGGGGAATTTAGAAAGGAGAAAGGGTTGTGAAAAGTTGCTCTGAGGTTTGCACAAACCCATGCTGGGAGTCAGGAAGAGCCTGGCTGCTCCGAACAAGGCTCAGACATCATTAGCACATATCGACCAAACATTAATCACGCACCCACAAGTGTGGGAAGGTTGTGAGAAGCAGCCCCTTGTCTCCACATCATGTTTCACAGCCCCCACGTTTGTCTCTGCCTTGTAAAGATCCGTTTGGTATTGACAGCTTCTGTCTGCACCCAAACAGGCAGAAAAACAGCCCGCCGGGGGACCTGCGGCCACTGGATTTACAGCTGTGTCTCCAAGAACCCAGGCTGCCAAGACCCACCAGCCCCGCAGTGTCTCCAGCTCTGTAAGACACACAGCTCCTGGTCGGAAAAGCAAGGACGGGTCCAGGAGGACAGGACCGGGCCAGTAAACCAATATGTACTGCTGTCTTACAGCCTTGGGAGATAGAGCCGGCCTCGGGAGATAGAGAACAGTCAGACATCACTCCTGCCACACTCAGCTGTGGGAGCAGCCAACAAGCATTACCGAATACCCTCCATGTGCATCCAATAATGTTGGTTGCATTTTAGCTATTTAACAAACACTTACATAGTACTTACTAGGTGCCAGCAAATGTTCTAAGTTCTTTACAGAGATTAATTCCATTAGTCCACATAGCAACCATTATTATTCCTGTTTTACCCACGAGACGGAGGCAGAGAAAGATGCAGAAACTTGCTGAAGGTCACATAAATGGTACCTGACAGAGCAGAAGACAGGCTTGGCCAGTGGGCTCCAGGGTCTGTGCTCACACGCCTCACACTGCTGCTTTATTTTTGTAGCTGCCTTCATTCATTCATTCATTCATCAAATACGTAGCAAACTCCTACTATGCATCCGGCATGGAATGAGATGCTAGGAATGCAGAGAGGGGCCTTCCTTCCATTAACATTTAGGGAGGACCTACTACGTGTCTCAGAGACAGGAACATGTCTCACTTACCTCTGTATCAGGCAGAGAGTGCCGTCCATACTCAGACCTGGGTGGTGAGTGTTGAGTGACTGAATGTGCCTGCTGAGTATTAGAAAGAGTGCTGAACGTGGAGCCTGAGAACTTGGATCCCTCCCGCTGGGAAGGAAAATGTTTTGACACGCTCATCCATATTCAGGTATGTTATATATCCCAAGGGGCTCATATTGAATGAGAGGAACTGAGATAAGGCAATAATGTCCTCCAAAAGAATGAAGTATTAATGGTGGAATTTCAGGCATCCACAAAGGAGATAATTTGGTGGGTGGGTGGCCCCCAATCATACCCCGTCATTGATCGCCTGCTCTAAGGGCCTGGGAATGGGACAGATATTGCAGGGAGGTGCCAAGCACTCTGCTTGGGGCTGTGAGTCACTGGCTGGTCTCCTTGGAACCTGACCGGGAGGCGAGAGAGCACGTCCACCCTGCAGACAGATATGTCCTTGGGGACAAGGCAGGGTCTGTGGAAGTAGCGTGAGAGCGATCAAGGCGGAGGCAGCCAACAACTCCGTTCCTGCAACTGGACCGGATTGGCGTGTCTTAGGCCATCACGTCTGATGCTAATGACCCACTAAAAGCCCCCCTTGGATCAGCGCAGCCTGTAACAGAAGTCAGTTACCCCAGCCTCCCCTTTTGCAAGCACTATCAGGGTTGCCTTCACCCTCTCTGGGGGCTCCCAGCCTCCCCCATGCCATCGGCATTGTCCCCTGCCCTGTCCTGCCTCCTCGCTCTCCAGGAGCTGCTGGCTTAGACAGTTAAATGCACCCCAACTCTCTCTGAGGTGGATAGGAGGTTCCAGTGACAAGGAACGCCACTGTTAGCTGCTATAATATTTAGAGGTAGGCACTGACCTTCCTTAAAATAGCTGGCACCTTGCCTTTCCCCTCGTGTCTGGTGATAGTGACACCAGCCACCTCCGGGGAAGCCTCTGGTCCAGCAGTCAAGCAGGTCATAGGCAGTGGCAATGAGGGGGTGCCCTATAGGCCATGGCAACCGACTCTCATTAACAGATGAGGAAAGTGAGACCCAGTGAGGGTTGGGGTTTGCCCCTAGTCATGCAGTTACACGTACTTGGGGCTAGAATCCAGCTCCATCCCACCCTAGTCCAGAAGCTCAGGGAGACCGCCAGCAGCTCCAGGTGCCACCTCCAGGACCCTTCCTGAGCCGGATGGAGGGCAGCTCCTGCCAGCTGCGCCTCTGTCCTGTCCATCATGGGTCATGATCTTGGAGGCCTGTCCCCACACCCCTCTCCTCCCGGCCCTGTAACCAAAACAAACATTTCCCCCATACTTCATTTCATCACCCAGCAATAAAAGCAGACTTGTTTTTTTCTTAACGGGAGCATTAATTTAGTCTCTATCGTGCAGGCCAGCTCAACTGAGATGATATGGCCAAGCTGAGGGTGGGAGGCCAGCGGGCAGCAGCCTTCCCCGGCCTGAGGTGTCTTAGCTTTCATCAAGTGCACGGTGCGCTGTCCAGCCAACAGTGCAGCAGAGAAGCGGCTCAGACCACTTCCCTGCTGGGCCGCAGCCAGCAGGGCCCCTGTTCTGACAGCCCTCTGGCTGGGAGGCTCGATTTCTCCATGGGGCTGCAGGGGAGGCACCAAATTAAGAATGAAAAAAAAAAACAAAAAACCCAAGGTAGAAAACAAAAGCAAAAAACATTAGATGCTGCCTGGCCCAGCTGGCTGGTCAGCGTCCAGTGGTCCAGGGCTTGGCTGTCTGTCCTGGAGCTCCATCCCACGTGGGCACATCACACAGACACACCCCAGCAGAGTGCTCTAAGGTGCACGCTCAACTCCCAGTTGTTAGTCATTCTCAGTACCTCTTAACTCTCACCCCTCCCCAATATGCGACCTGCCAGCGCAACTGTCAGCTCTCCTTTCAGAATATATCTGGGATCCAACCATGTCTTACCACCCGTACCTGACATCCTTGTCCAAACCACCATCCTCTCTCACCTGCAAGATCACGGCTCTTCCCCTTAGACTCCTTATGGCCATCTTCCATAGAGAAGCCAGAGGGGTCTTTTAAACCGAACGTCAGCTCTCTTACCCTCCCTGCTTGCACACACCAGTGGAACACCACCTCAAATTCTTACCTCTGCCTACGAGGCTCCATAGAACCCACCGCTGCCCCTGCCACCACTCTCACCTCATCTTCTAAGGCTTTCCCCTTTGTGCATTTCACACCAGCCTCTTCTGTTCCTCACCCTTGCTCAACACACTCCTGTCTCAGGGCCTTTGCACTTGCTATTTCTCTGGTAGTCCCAGAGCTCACTCACTCTCTCAATTCAGATCATTTTAAAATGCTCCCTCCTCAGACAGTGCATCTGCATCTCAAAGAGCACCCCACAACTCTCTGTCCCCGTCCCCACTGTATCCTTGTTTCATGCACTATTCAATTCCTGACACTGCATTTGCATCATTTGTTTCTGAGGCTGTGTACCCTCTAGAGTGAGGGCAGAGCTTTCTCTGTTTTGTTTGATCTCTGTGTCCTCAGTGCTAGAACAGTCCCTGGTACATAGCAGGGGCTCAGTAAATATTTGTTGAATAAATGAATGTTCTGTGTTGTACAGGCTGTATTTGTACACATTGCAACACTTTCCATCTAGATGATGTTCTTCTTATTGAAGTAGGGCATTGCAAGCCCCAAAAGAAATTCCCACCAGAGAGGAGTCCAGACTGGCTTGAACAATCATGGTTTAGCTAGTATAAGTCAGGACAGCAAGGCTTCCTGGCTTTGATTCTGCCCTCTGCTGCCATGACAGACATGGAACCAGGCTAAGCAGGCTTTGCCCAAATGAGATTTAAAATCTTAGATAGGTGATCTTCTGGACTAAACATTTGTGTCCCCCCCCATTCATATGCTGAAACCCTAATCCCTAATGCCCTGTGAGATGGTACTGGCAGGTGGGGCCTTTGGGAGGTGATTAGGTTTAGATGAAGTGGCGAGGATGGCGCCCCATGACTAGTCCCCTTAGAAGAGAAGGAAGAGATTAGAAGGTTCTCAGTTACGTGAAGATATAGCAGCGAGGCAGCCGTCTGCGAACAGGAAGAGGGCTCTAGCTAGATGCATCCGAGCCGCCTCCATCTTGCACTTCCAGCCTCCAGAATGGTGGGAAATAAATGTCACTCGTTTCAGCCACTCAGTTGATGGCAGTTTGCTCCGGAGCAGTCTGTGCTGACAGACAGGTGAGGTGCTGCTGGGCAGCCCTGATCAGAGTGCACCCTGGCCCTGGGAGTCTAGATGTTTTCCTTGACATGACTCACAGCTGGGAGAGACCACATGTGGCAGAGGACAGAATACCCAGAGGGCTGGACTACCCAGTTGAAAGGACAAAATGAAGTTCAAGCAAGGTCAGTGTTGTCCTTCCATTTAAGTTCCGGAAAATCAAGCATTGCAATTTATACTAAGGAAATAATACAGGGTTATGTCTGAGGTTGTTTCTCAAGACCTTATTTGTATTAGTAGAAAACGAGAAACAACTCCGTTTCCAACAAAAGATTGGGTAAATCTTGTCTTGTGGACTCACAATGGACTACATGGGAGGGTTCTCAGCCTCACGTGATCGACATTTGGGGTCTGATCATTCTTTGTCGGGGGGGGTCCCCTGTGCATTATAGCCATGCACCCATCCCACCAACTGTGACAACCAGAAGTGTCTCCTGACACTGCCAAGTGTCCCTTGGGCCCCTTCCAGGAAAATCATACTTCTTAATACCCTGGGAAGTGCTTCGGCTATTGTGCTGGGTTCAAAAGGGAAAAGAACAAAATGTGTTTTCAACTATATTCACACAGAGAATAGAAAGAGTTTGGAAGGAAACTTTTTTCGATGCTAACTATAATCGCTGCTTGGTGGAAATAGAATTTTCTTTTTTTTTTTTTTTTTTTTTTTTTTTTTTTTTTTTAATTTTTTTTTTTTTAATAGAGGCATGCTTTTTTATTTATTTATTTGTTTGTTTTGTTTATACATGCACTGGGTACAGTCAGAAGCACGGGAGGGTGGGAGAATTCACCAGAGCCAGAGCGGGGAGCAGAGCAGGCAGAAGGACTGAAGTACACTGCTGAGGGGAGCAGCGGGCGGCAGGAGAGGTCTGCGCGCCATGTGGGACCCTCCTCCGGTGGCCGGGGAGCAGCCGGGGATCGAACCGGCGCTGCAGAGGCCGCGGGCAGCTTCGCAACCCAGCGCTCAACCGCTGCGCCACCTGGGAGGCCCTAGAATTTTCTTTTACTTCTTTGTTTTTGCCCTTCAACATTCATTCATTCATTCAGTAGATATTAATTGCTTGTCTACTACAAGCCAGGCATTGTCATAGGCCCTGGGGATAAAAGTACAACACAGACATTAGCATTATATAGAGCTCTGTCTTCACATAAGTTCTAGGGGGATCTAGACAATAAAAAGGAAACCTATAAAGAACAATACTCTGAGATAGTGATGGGCGCCTGGAAGACCATAAAGTAAGGGGCGGAGGGGACAGCCAGCCTGGCACTCAGTACCCACACAATGAGAATGTCTTGAATGAAGAACCCTTACAGGATCTTAAGTGAGGGAGCCAAGTTATCTGGTTTCTATTTTAAAATGATTATCGTTGAAAAATTTATTTTTGACAAGGTAGTGCATGTTTGTTCTTATAAAGAAAAACAGCTCGAAGGAAAAAATAGAAGGTAGAATAGAAAAATCACATGGGAATCAAGCAGATAGAAAGATGCTGCAGACATTTTCGTGAACATCTTTTCAAGCATCCTTTGCTCTCTCTGCCTCTCTTTATAAATATATAAAAACATTTTATGCAAGACGATTCGAACCATTCATGCTGATTTGTAGCCTGCTCTTTTCCTGCCCTTTGTAATTTTATGCTCATTGTAAACCTTCCACAGTGGGTATATATTACTTTTATAATCCGGAACATAAAAAAAAGCAAGAGACCACAAAAAGTAAAGTGAAACCCACAAATACAGGATGAGGCATCGCTGGCTGAGCTGTGAGACTGTGAAGAAAGGCTTTGGGGTTGAGCAGACCACGAGCTCAGCAGGAGTTGACGACATCATGTGGTTTCTTAGTTCAGTTCAGTTTATGTTATCAGACCATTCTCCAGCTCCCAGGATGGGCACTATGAAACAGGCTTCTTTGGGCTCAGCTCAAGGCGACTCGATGTCTATCAGTCCCCTTCTAGCGTTTGAAGCACCTGCTGTGTGCAAAACCAGCAGTGCAATGATAGCTGATGCTTAATGAGCACTTACTCTGTGCCAAGCACTGTCTTAAGACCTTGACATGCAGTGACTCATGTCATGCTCCTAACAACCCTGCGACATGGGTCCCATTATTGTTCTCATTTTACAGATGAAGAAACTAAAGCCAAGAGAGGTTAAGTACCTTGCCCGACATCACACAGCATAGAATAGCATCTTGAGAAAGACGAAGAGGAGGACCTTACGAGTCTGCCTTCAAGGAACTGGCTGTCAAAAAGGTAAATTCAACCACCTCACCTTCAGTTGACATTCACTGTGTGAATGGCCCCATGAATATACTCTCTGCTCAGCAAATTTGTATTGAGCTCTAGCTATGTGCCAAGCATGGAGCTAAGTATTGGGGAAATGGTGCTGAATAAGACAGCCCTCACAGTTCATTTACAATCGCTTGTGAGATAAACAAGCAAGTAAGTACCTGATTTAATTTGTTGTGGAAGTAAGTCCTGGGGAGGATAATGCAGAGTGAGGGCTAGAACAGACTGGTTGGGAGTCTCAGCAGAAGAGTCTTTTAGAGAAGCCTGTCAGGAAAGTCTTCTCACATAAGGCAGCTTTGGAAAAGTGATCTGAACAAAGACTTGGGAACACGGGCACTGCAGCCCAGGCATGAAGAACAGCAAGTACAAAGGCCCTGAGGCATGAGCAAGCTTAAAAAGCTAAGGACCCCAAGGAGGCGAATATGTCTGAATCTGTGTGTGTAGGAGACGGGGGCTGAGAGGCAGTCAGTACCCACCAAAGGGATTTGGCTGCCAGGTAGGATTGTACTACTTCGAGGCTGGGAAGCATGTGAGAGTTTCAAGGGTGGCCAGTAAGTTCTGATTGAAAGATTGCAGAACAGGGGGACAGCAGGGAAGGGGGGAAGCAAGAAGACAGCATGAGGTTAGTTTTGCAACTAACACAAGCTGATGAGACAGGACCAAGTGTGGGCAGATTGTGTTTGGGTGGGGGCAGAAAATACAGATTCCCACTCTCCTGTAAGTCCTGCCCTGGAGCTTGCGACACTGAAGAGAATGAAGGGTGTGGGCACTAGAGATGCCAGTGACTTGAATATGTCCCACGGGGACTGTGGCAGCCTTTGCATTTCTGCGGTATGAGATGGAAATTTGAAGCAATAAAGAGAGGGGGGAGAAAGAGACAGAAACAAGAAAGAAAGAAAAGGCAAGGAAATAATAAAATGTTACCATCTTGCAGGCGCCCGGCTGGGCGATGAAACTGCTAATGAGTCAGAGGTTCTGCAGAGCCGAGCATCTAATTCAAACCAGACAGATAAATGTCACCCCTGAACTTCTGTCCCAGAGCTGAAAATGCATCCTGGAAGCGAGGCTGGGGACAGAAGTCCCCCCTCCCATGATGTCATCCATCCAGAGCCCAGCCAGGTGCAGGCCAGGGTGGAGGGGAGAGGAAGTGGCCCCAGAACACCCCCACCTGTTCCCGGGAGCTGTCCACTTGCCTCCTCGCCAGGGAAGCATCTGGAACATCACCCAAGCCAGCACCTTACCCACACAATACCTGCTCCCCATTTCAATCAGCATCTCATGTTGGGGGATGTAGATGCTGCTAAACTTTTAGGGAGACTCCCCTCTACCTGTTTTGCCATCTTCTGAGCATTTAAAGGATTTTCATGTAGTTCATTTTTTCTGAAAGCACTTGTTCACTTGAATAATCAACAATCATTGCATTTTGATCATTATACACCGAGTTTGCTCCATTCTAACTAGTTCGACTTTTTAGTATCTCAGAAGCAGGATAGTGTAGGGATGCTGGAGGAAGGCTACCTGGGTTTGAATCCCAGGTCCACCAGTACTAGCTATGTGTTCTTGGACAAAGAATTAACCTCTCTGTGTCTCAGTTTCCCAACTTTAAAATTCAGTAAATGACAGTCTACCTTCCAAGGTAGACACACTATATGGGGAATGAGGGGGTCCAAGTCTATGGGAGGACAAAACAGCCAGGTATAAACAATCAGAGAAGGCTTCCTGGAGGAGGTGACATCCCAGTTAGGGTTTGAAGGAGACATAGGAGTTAGACAATAAAGAGGGTATGCCAGGTAGAGAGATCAGGATTTGCAAAAACTCAGAGGCACAAAATGCCAAGATGCTCTCGGAGAAATGCAAATAGAGCTGGAAGGTTGGGTGTGAGGGGACAAGGGAGCTGATGAGACTATGGAGCTCGCTCCATAGGGCAATCACAAGGGCCTTCCCAAGCCTCCCATGCCAGGCTAAGGAGCTTGGACACTACTCTGAGGTTAGTTTGAACCTTATTGTTGAGCTTCTGCGTCCTCATTTATAAAACTGGGCGTTCCCACTGCGCTGCTAGGGTGAATGAAACGATATGAGAGCTGTGCTTTGCAAAGTGGCCGCCACAGAGGAGAGGCCCACACAGGCCAGCTCTAATAAGTCTCCATCTTCTAATCTAGCAGAATTAAGATGAGACTGAAGAGCTGTGTAGACAGAGTTCTCAGCACATAATAGTTGAGCATGCTGTTAAGAATGTGAGTTCTGGGGGCCTCCCCTGGTGGTGCAGCGGTTGAGCGCTGGGCTGCAAAGCTGCCCACAGTCTCTGCAGCACAGGTTAGATCCCCGGCTGCTGGCGAGGGTCCCACATGGCGTGCAGACCTCTCCTGCCGTGCCCGCTGCTCCCCTCAGCAGTGTATTTTGTCAGTCTGCCTGTTCTATTCCCTGCTCTGGCTCTGGTGAATTCTCTCACCCTCCCACGCTTCTGACTGTACCCAGTGCTTATATAAATAACTAAATAAATCTTTTAAAAAAAAAAAAAGAATGTGAGTTCTGGACCCTCACTGTTGGGTTCCCATTCTGGATCCAATATCCAAGAAGGGGTGAGTCGCTCACCATTCTGAGCCTCCGTCTGTAAAATGGGGGCGTTGACATCACATGATGTGAGGCTGAAGAGCACATATAAATAGCTTCTGGCTTCACATCCAGTTTCAACTCCATTACCCACGAGGTTTTTTTGAATAAATAGTTTATTAGCTTCTCGGTGTTTTTGTTTTGTTTTGTTTTGTTTTGTTTTTCCCAAGAGTAGAATAAATCAAATTTAAATTTCACAGCTTTTTCAAATTGGGCAAAACTCCTTCAAGTTGTTGTGGGATAAGAAGGTCAACAGCGAGACCTCTGCTCTCTGGGTGCTCAACACTCACTGTACCTGCTCCGTGGCACTAACAAGGGCGCTAATCCTGGGCCACACACGGGCCTTCCTGCCGTCACCCTGGAGGGAGACAGAGCTTGGAGAGCATGCATGGTGCCAGCTCTTGGATGGGCACTATGAAACAGGCTTCTTTGGGCTCAGCTGGGCATTTTCCTGAGTTGAGTGCCAGGGTGGGAGGTTTCAGCCTCTCTCACCAGCCTCCCCCTCCCCCTTAGTCTCTTCAGAGCAGGTTCCTGTTTCTACCGGCTTCGAAGAACAGCAGCCTCTGCTCCAAATTTGCTACAGCAGTGCTTTGGGGTGAATGAACTGGGTGCTGATTCTCCCACATTCCCACAGAGACTGCAGTGGGGGCTGGGTGGGAACCATTACCAGTACCCTCTTTGGCAGCCCTGTGCTTTCCAGAATCAATGGAAATAGTGCTCCCATCTGGGAGGAGGGTGCTCTGGTCCAGTATCGAGGTCCCAGAGTCAGTGTTGGCCCCAGACCCATGTGTGGGTCACTCTTTACTCTGAGCTTCATTTTCCCCACCCAGAAAATGGGGACATGAGTGTGCACCCCACCTTATTGGTAGCTGTGAGGATCAGGCGAGATTATGCAACATTATAAACCTCAAAGGACAAGTTGCTGAGGGTCTCCCAGGGCCACATCCCACTAGGAAAATCAGGGCATCTGTGTTGTGAGGACAAAATGACAAGAGCTTCTTGGGTACCGAGGGCTTAGAGTCCTCACCGTTCCTCAACTTCTCTGTTCAGATGCTGTCCATTGCACCCTTTTGGTGAGGACAATGAGAATTAAGAGACAAACAGAGAAGAAAAAATGTTGTAGAGAAAATGAAGATGGGAAGGGGACAGAGGAACGGAGAGGACCCCAGGACTACTACAGGGACTGGAAAAATAATATGCCACAGAGCACAGAGGGCAGGAGAGAAAGCAGGGGCAGGAGAGACCACTGGTGAGATCAGGAGGCTGAGGCAGGACCAGAAGAGGCAAAGGAAACTGGGGAACTGGGGTGAAGGGTGAGACCCAGAACCTGAGCAGGGTTGTGAATGTAAGTCATGGGGTGAGTGACCTGGGCCCAGGCTGCTTGGCTCCTCCGCCCACGGGGCTGTGGGTTTAGGTCGAGGAGAGTTTGCACCCTCCAGACCTCACCAGAGAGACCATCTGTTCGGTTCCTGATGCCAGAGCCTCCTCTCTACCACCAAAGTGCAGTCCAGAAAGTCTAGCCTCTGTCCCCACCCAGACGCTGATCTCTATGCATACCTGGGGGCTTTCTAGAAGGTTGTAGGCAAGTAGAACCTCAATGACAGGTAGTCCAAACCCCTCTCTCTCACACTGTCCATATGAAGCTTATTCGAGACCCAGAGAAATGGAGATCTGTCCAGAAGCACAGCCCAAAGCCTGGTCCTGCAGGAGAAGTTCAGAGAACGGCTGGGGCAGAGGTGAGTGGCGGTGAGCCGGGAGGCTGGGAGGCTGGGGAGGGGCTGGGGTTGGAAAGAAGGAGGCTGGGGGAAAGGGGGGAGGGTGGGAGGGAGCGAAGATGGAGGAAGAGGGAGGCCAAATGGGGAGGGGGAGGCCTGGATTGGGGCGCATCTCTCCCCTCTGGCCAAGCCAAGTTCACATTCACAGATGTGTCCCCAGCACCTAAGAAGACCTGGCAAGAGCAGGAATTTAATAAGCATTTGTTGAATTGTTGAAAGGAGGGTTTCCAGGCCTCGAGGCATAGAGAAGCCGTGTGGTGAGCCCCCGGCCCTTGACCAAGGCAGACTGCCGGTGGGGTTGAGGTTGGCACCGGGCCATGGAAGAGGATTCCTTCCAGGGGCTGCCCCCTGAGCTTATGTGCCAATGGCCAGAGTGGGGGTCTACTGCTCAGGGTCTGGCAGGGGGAGCACCAAGGGCAGAGATCAGAACGCTGCAGACTTGGAAAAGGGGAGCCTCCCCCCCGCCAATCCAAGCCTCACTGCCCACTTCTGCATAATTACACAGGATTTGGAGTCAGGTGAACTCAGTTTGATCTCCGCTCTGAGACCTGCAAATCAGTTATCTGTCTCCCTGGGCCTCACTTTTCATATCTCTAAGTGGGTGAGCTGCCCCTGGCTGCACTGTTGAGAACATGTGCCCAGCTCAGTGCCTGCTCCCGGGAAGGCTTTGCTGTCCCTTCCTTCTTGTAGGGTTGAGAGAGTGGGCTCTGGATTCGGACACACCTGGCATTAAATCTTATTGCTGCTCATGATCTGGGGCTGTCCCCAAGGAACTTACTTCTCTTTTCTGAGCCTCAGCCTCCTCATGGTGAAATTAAGAGTATCTCAGAGGATACATTGGTCAGAGTGATGGGTGCATGGGGCAGAACCTGAGTCTGTCTCAGGAGTGCAAAAAGGAATGTATTGGAAAGCTATTGGGAACCCGCAGAATCTTCAGGAAGCTGAAAGAGCAACCTCAGGAAGTGGCTAGAAAATGAGGAATGATGGAGGACTGGGCAGCAGAGCCCAAGGCAAGGGGGGGACCCAGGTGCAGCCCGGGACGGGCAGGGCGCCAGCATTCCCTGAGCCTGCACATCCCCTGCTCAGTGGCGCGGCCGGCCTGAGTTATGTCTATCTCCTGTTATGTCTATCTCTGCTTCCTTAGTGTCCAGGGGGTGGGGCGGGGTGGACATCTGCTCTCCCACCCATCTATTTCACTAATGAGTCCCCAGGAAATATCGGGGTGCCCATGAGAAGTAACAGCGCAGGTTTGTAACAGGGTCCCTGAGAGGGGAATAAGGTGACACATCTGGATCCCCTTGTGCTTGCACCCAGATATGTGATGATTGGCCAGAACCATACAAATGTAGGGGGACTGGTAGGAAGCTAGCTGGATGGAAGGATGGATTGATGAATGGATGGGGTGGAGCCGATTGTGCATTCTTGCCAAGACCTGCTTTATGCAAAAGAGAGAGAAACATTTTACCTGGAGAGAAATCTTAGTCCAAGGCATCCTTGACCCAAATACATATCATTTATGTGCTGATTCCTATTCAGGATTAGGAAGAATTATATCTCAGATCTGTAGAATTTTAAATCAAGATGATCTCGTTGTGCTTGACACCTGGTAGATGCTGAATATAGTGAGTGAGTGGATGAAGGAATGAACAAATGGCTTATAACTGGCAAACGTGTTTCTCACTTGTTTTGTGAATTAGGAAAATTACACTCATTTATGAAATAGGAAAGTGACACCAAAGGCCACCCAGCAGAGGGTGGTGTGGAATCTAGGCCAACAGGAAGTCCAACATTCTTATCCCCACAACAGGAAGCTCCCCGGTTCGTGCTCTCAGCGAGGATGTCGCATGTAAACCAGACAGATCATTTCCAGGTCCTGGAATCTGTGTTCTCCTACCAGTGACCAGGAGACCACCGGACTGATCATTTGGTGTTTTTTGGGAGTGTATGCTTGCGTGTGCATGTGTGTGTGTGCGCGCGCACATGTGTGCACGCAAACATGAGAATGGAAAGACAAATGTGTCTTGTCAACAGCTTCCACCTCCCCGTTGTCCAGCTGTAGAACATCAGGTATGTGGGAGCCCTCCAGATAAGCTGGTTTTGACACAATGCAGATGCCTTTCTACCTCCCAGGAGGTTGTGACAGCCCCAAGTGACAGGGACAATGACATTCAACATCTGGGTACAGCTGATACGAACTCACGACTTTGCCTGGCACATGGATGAGCTTGATGAGCAGTGTCTGCTTTCATTAAACAATAACAATCCATGCAGGCCAAGCACTCTTATCAGCGCTTCTCACTTTTCAGCACTGTTGGGCTAGGAATCAAGAGGTCTGGTTCTAAAGTCAGTTCTTCATGCACTCCTTGTTTTACTCTGGATGGCCAACTTTCTAGGCCTCCGTCTTCTCATCTACAGAATGGACCCCCCCCACAGGGTTGCTGGAGAGACTGTGGATTGAGCAAGGGTCAGTGAGCTACCACAGGCCAAATCTGGCCCACCACCTGCTTCTATCAATAAAGTTTTGTTGGAACACAATTATACACACAGGTGTGAATTGTCCACGGCAGCTTTTACACTGCAACAGCAGAGTTAAATGGTTGCAATAGGCTGTAAAGCCTGCAAAGTCTAAAATATTTACTATCTATCCATTTACAGAAGTTGGCTAACTCATGCTGTTGCTCAATTACTCCCCATCTTAGTGGCAAAGACACCCTTCCTCCAAGGTGTTTGTTGGAAGTACCACTCCCAGGTCCACACCAGAACCCCAGTTCTCTAGGTCTGGGTATTTCCTTTTTGACTAGTACTTTGCCCAAGAACTACTCTAGGGCAGAAGACCTGGGTCCAAGTCCCTGCTCCACCATTTCCTATATATGTGACTGAAGGCAAGTGACTCAACCTCTCTGAGCTCTGCATCCTCATGTAAAACCAGGGATAAAAAAAATCCATCCCTAGGGCTCCTGGGGAGATTAAATAAGAATCTCTATAAAGTCCTCCATCAGGTCTGGGCATTCAATAATTGACAGTTCTTTCCCTTCCTGCATCCCTGGGCATTCTCACCTAGTTCCTGGGCAAGCTGCTTCTTCCCACTTCTCTCAGAAGCCTCTTAACTGCCCTTCAGCCCCACTGCAGCTTCTCAGGGGGAGCCCACACCCCATCTTTGCTGGCAGGTCCTGCTTCCCCAGTATTTACTTAGTGGCAGCATCAGGGGGTCTGGGCTGGCAGAACCTGGAGTCCTCGGCCTATTTCTGACACTGAAACTGCCGCCAGCCTGTGTTTACACATTTACTCTCATAATATTTGCTCTGCGTGGCCATTATTTGTCCAGGGGCTGACGTCAGATGAAGACAATCAACTCCCCACTAGAGCTTTCAAAGAGCAAGGTCAGCACCTCCTTGTCCGCCTCCGCTGTCCCATCCCTTCTCTCCTTGTCTGGGTTTTCTAAACTAATCACACTCCAGGTGGCAAATGACTTAGCAAAATGTGTTGGCACAAGCCCAGGAGAACAGGCAGATGCTGGTCCCAACCTGTCACTGACCTTCGGCTACCTTAGGCAGGTCTGGTCTCTACGTCTTCTCCCAACCCAGAATTCCATAACGCTGGGACTCCAAGAGCTCCCCAGGTTGGAAGAGTCTAGAGATCACCTGGCTGTTCTCTCCATCCTTCTCAAGCTAAAGGAAGGGCAGAGAGAATGGAAATTGTGAAAACTAGGCCACCCTTCTGTTTATCTACAACTGTGCAAATAACACAATCATTCTCTCATCAAGAAAGAAAATAAACACTGAAAAAAACTAGAAGCTCTTCAACTGGACCATCTCCTAAAGTGTGTTTCTCCCTCATAACAGATAACCTGAACCCCGAACATCTAGGGGAGTCTGAGAACAGCCCCTAACTTGAGTTTCTTCTACCCACTGCCAATTACTCTTCATGAGAGCTTGGTCAAGTGGCAGGTGATGCCACCTGCATCCCAGGCCAGCTCTCCTCAGAGGGCAGTCACAAGTCCAAGGGGAGAGGAAATTGCAAGTCAATTCAAGGACTTCAGACCCCACTGAAATGTGTTTCCATATCAAGGACATATTGTTTCATGGGAGAGCGCTGGGAAGGGGAGCCCACACTTTCAAAGGATTACAGAAAGGACTTTCATCTGAAACCCAAGAGACTGTAGAGGGATATACCAGACCCCCTTGCCTTGGCTGGAGACAGGGTGGGGTTTCATAGTTGTTGAAGGCAAGGGTGTGGAGCAGACAGACGTGGGTTTGAATCTCAGGTCTGCCCTCCCCACCCCCCTTCACCACTGCCCATGTCACCTATGTGGGTCTGGACTTGATCTACTGAAATGGGAGGATCATAATTCGTACCTCATGAGGCTGTTGTGAGGATATGTAGGAGGTGTCTAGGGAAAGTGCCTGAGCCACTCAGGTCACGGTGGGCCCTGACCAGACACAGTATCCTCCTTGAAAAGGGCCACCGAGGGTTCTTTGATAGTAATAACAAGAGATTCTCTGGCACAGAGAACACCCAAGTCCTCACAGCACTGAGCTGTCTCTCCCTCCCCACAGCATTTCCACAGCAGGCTCCTCAGGCAGACACAGCTGTCCCCATTTCACAGCTTTTGAAACGGAGGCTGGAAGGGACAAAGCAGTCTGCCCAGAGTTCACCGTGTCAGCAGCACACCTCCACCCAGCAGTGAAGGTCAGTCCCGTGCACCCTTCCCAGGGCCTGGGCCTGCTGACCTTGTGGCCCGAGAGGACCCGGCTGTGCCTGCAGGCCTCCCAGGCGCGGGCTCCGACTCAGAAGCCTCCTCTTCCTCAGTGCCCAGAGCTGCTGGCGGGAGCTCGGCAGAACTGTGGGGACAGCGCGCCCTCCAGTGGCTTCTGTGCAGCAGCCGTCAGAGCTGAGGTCCCAGAAACCGCAGTTTCACAAGACCTGAAGCCCCCAAACTGGGGCACAGAACAGGTGCACACGCCAGCTCCTGCCGTCCAGCCTCTGGGTCCTTGACAACATTCCCCCTGTGGGAGGCTCTTAGAATGACATCCTTTTAATCTAGGAAGAAACAAACAGCAGCCAAATGAGCACTTCACACAGAGAAGAGCACTGAACCCAGAGCGGAGACAGCACGTCCAGGGTCACAGCCCGACCAGGGCAGGTGGAGACTACAACCCGGATCGTCTGCCTCCCCCTTCAGCCTCAGCACCAGTTCCGGGAGTCTGGACCCACCAACCCTGTCCCCCGACTCCACAACTCACCTCTGTTCTCCTGAGCCCTGGAGCTACCAGACCCACCAAGGTAGAGGGGGACAGGTTGAGGAGGAAGAGTAACTGTGATGGGCATTCAAGCTCCTGATGGCTGTGTGGCTTTGTGAAGGTCAGTAAACCCCTCTGGGCCCCTAGTTTCCTCCTCTGTCAAATGAAGACAGTAATAGGACCTAAGTGACAGGGTTGTTGTGAGGACCAAGTAAGGTGGGAAGTAAGAAGGGCTGGTAGCACAACACTAGGCCCCAAACATGAAAACCCTTGCTGCAATTTTTATCAATCATTTGGTGACTCTAGTTCACTAGCTCCCTTCTGAGGGGTGGCAAGCTCTCCAGACACATCCCCCCTCCTATCCTTCTCTCACTCCATTGCTTCTCATGTGCCCCCAAGATGCCAAGCCAGAACCCAGCACCTGTCTCTCAGGTCATCTTGAGCAAGGCTCTGTGAGAGGAGGTGACCTGGTTGGGGGCTGGAGAGTGGGCCCCACAGACCTCGTGGGTCAGCAGGGTGAGCTTGGCCCAAGGTGAGCTTGACCAAGGATGAGTTTAGAAGGGCTGAAATCCCCAAGGCTTCTCTGAGGGCAAGAGGAGAACAGGTTGAGGGGCATAATCTGCACCTTCCCAGGTTTTCAGGAGCCCAGCGCTGACAACTGGACACATCAGACTTGGGGTTCCTGACGGGAACATTGAAAATCCCACCTCAATTTCCATTCCCACCAGGCCTAGAGGCAGGCAGAGGTGGGTTAAATCCTGGCCCTGCCACTCACCAGGTATGAGACCTTGGGAAGAGACTTGACTTCTCTGAAACTCAGTTTCATTATCTGTAAAGTCGGGGCAATGATAGGATTATAATGAGCCGGTAGGTTTGGAGTAAAGTGCCCAGTACCTGGACCATGGTGCTTCGCTTACTGAATAGCAACTCAGAACAAATTCACCACTTTCTCTCACCCATACCCCAAACTCTGCTCTTCCTCTTGGACTCCCTGTCCTGGTCGGTGACAGTCACCCCCAGTTATCCAGGAGGTCAATCCTGTCACATCCTCCCTACCCAGGTGCTCCTCTCCAGCCACTAATCTAGTTCCAGAACAAGATTACAGCTCAGTCCTCCAGGCTGGCTCCTCCTTCCACCCACCCCCCAACACTGCTGCCATAGTGATGACATCAGCGCCTTGCATTCACACCCCGGCTCTGAAACCCACACCCTCCCCCATAGCATGGAGTGCACATCCGGACAGCCAAAGATCCGCTCCATCCACCTCCCCAGCAGCATCTACTCCGCCGCCACTCGCTTGCACCAGCTACCCTACAACTCTCAGGTCCCCTGAAGATGCCCTGCTGCTTCGTGTCTCCAAGCCTCTGCCCACCCTACCACCACCCAGGGCATCTCACTCACTCGTTCCCTGAAAGCCCTCTGCTGCCCCTCCTCCCCAGGCTGGGCTCTGTCAGCCCCTCTCAGAGCTGGTGGATGCCCTTCCCACCTGCGTTTGCATGCGTACCTGACCAGGGTCCCAGGAGACAGGAGAGGGCACTGGTTGAAACCAAGTCCTCTGGGGTCATCTCACTTGGTGGGGAGCTTAAGTGCCCGCCCTCCCCAGTCTTTGTGAGGATGTGTCTGCTGCATCGTGGGTGCTCAGTAAAGAGAAGTGGTTCTTTTTATTACTGTTCCTCCCACAAGACTGCTGATTCCTGAAGGGCAAGACCCATGTCATTTATGTTTATATCCCCAGCACCGAGCATGGGATCTGGTCATTGTAGAAGTGGATGGATGGTGGATGGATGGATGGTGGTTGGATGGGTGATGGATGCATGGTGAATGGATGGATGGATGATGGGTGGATGAGGGTGGATGGATGAGGGTGGATGGATGATGGATGATGGATGGATGGATGGATGGATGGATGGGAGGATCGATGGATGGTTGAATGTGACAGAAAGAGGAGGAAGAACTTTGTAAGTCACATTTATCTGGTAATTAGGCAGTTACAGAAACATGCAGTGCACTTTATAAAATGATGTCATTTCATCCTCATCCAACTACGGAGATAGATTCTATTTCTGTCCCTACATCTTGGGGAAGAAAAGCCAACTCAGAGAGATGCAGACATCTGCCATGGTGATGACGTTTGTGACATATTCAAAGTCACTTTTGTCTGACTACAAACGCCACGCAATTGCCATCTCTCCACACTGCTTCCCAAAAGGGATCATCTGAATTAGCAGCCAGCATCCGAAGAAAATACTAACTAGATTCACTTAGAGCTTGCTAATGTTGTCAGATGCTTCACGCTGTATCTCATTTAATCCTCACAAGAAGTGAGGAGACCATTCGCCATTAAATAGATGAAGAAACTGAAGCACGGGGCATCTGAGCAGATGCATGACACGGTACTGTCACTCGAGCTGTCTGCTGTGCAGTGTTGGTGGCAGTAACGCCGCGCAGAGGGGCCAATCTGTAGGCTGCCTCCGGGCCTGAAAGTAGGAGTCAGAGGCCCACGCGCTCAGGAACCAGAGCTGGGGCATAGCGTGCCCAGGAAATGCCGCTGCCATTGTTGTTATTAACAACATACACTTCTGAGAGATGCTATGCAATGATACTATAAATACTCGCATTGCCAAGCCACTGAATAGTTTTCAAAGCACTGTTGCATGCCCAAACAAGTTTTCCTTCAAGATATGGAAGGCAGGGGTTATTATCACAGCCTTAAAAAACAAATAGCTGCAGAGGGGTACCTGTGTCCCCATAAGGTCATATAGTTAGTGGGTGGTTTCCCTGGGTCCCCACCTAAGTTTTTTGGTCACCTGACCCAGTGCTGTTTCTCACATACCTGCAGCTGCTCTGAGAACCTCTAGGGTCCAGAACAGGTGTTGTTTAGTAGGTCGATGTGAGTGTCCACAGAAGGGTAGAGGCGTCAGGGTGGGCGGGAGAGAAGGCGTGAGTTAGGGAGTTAGGAAGGAGACTCTGCTAGGTGGGAACAGGAGGAGACCATCCAGGCCTCTCTAGGCCTTTCCCTGTGCAGCCTCCGCTGGCAGCCCGGAGGCTGGCACAAGATGGCGCCCTTGGCTGGGGAACCGGGTGGAGAGAGCTGGACAGGCGGGGGTGGGGGTCGGGGGGAATGCGCTGGCTGCCCACAAGGCTGCCACAGTTTTCACCTGCCTGTGGTAAAGAGGGGCACCTCTACACTTGGGCTTTTGTGTCTCCAAAAAATTGGTTTTTAAGCCCCTGTTTCTGGAATCCCAGCGTGGTCCACTCCAGCACAGACAACCCTGGCCCACAGTTAATCAGGGGTTCAGTTCTCACCAGTCAGGTGCATCCAAACATGAGTGTCAGTCTGAGCCACGTCTCCTGTGTGAGTCCCCAGGAAATGCGAAGGGTTGGGCTGCAGCAAAGCCTTTGTGAAGCTGAGTGAGCACTTGCAGGGGGCAGGCTTGTCAGGTTGTCTGATAAAATACAGGATACCAGTTAAATTTGAACCAGGTAACAAGGAGTAATTCATTAGCATAATTCTGACCCAAATTTTGTGTGGCCAAGTTGAAAGTGGGCTTTGGAGGCGCCCTATGTAAATATCCTTGATATGAGAATAATAGCAGTTCCTTGTAAAATGGGAATGGCTCTCACGAGTCATGCAGCTGAGAGGCGTGAAGAGGGAGCTCTGGAAACAGATTGTCGGGTAACAGCCCTGCTCCATCCATTTCTAGCTGTGTCACTTTGAGGGTGTTCTTTAATTTTTCTGAGCCTTGGTTTCCCTATTAAGAATCTGAGGATAGGGCCTCCCCGGTGGCGCAGCGGTTGAGCGCTGGGTTGCGAAGCTGCCCGCAGCCTCTGCAGCGCCGGTTCGATCCCCAGCTGCTCCCCGGCCACCAGAGGAGGGTCCCACATGGCGCGCAGACCTCTCCTGCCGCCCGCTGCTCCCCTCAGCAGTGTACTTCGGTCCTTCTGCCTGTTCTGCTCCCCGCTCTGGCCCTGGTGAATTCTCTCACCTCCTGCTCTTCTGACTGTACCCAGTGCTTAAATGAATGAATGAATGAATAAATAAATAAATAAATCTTTTAAAAAAAAAAGAAAAAGAATCTGAGGATAAGAGATGGAGATAAAAGATAAAGAGTGGCACATGGCCTCAGGCTGGTCTAGGGAGAGAGAAGAGTAGAAACATCCTTCTCCCCAACCTCCTCCCCTCTTCCTGCCCGCCCCACCCTCCCCTCCCACCCCCAGAGTATGTTTAGCACCAGGAGCAAGGAGCCCAGGGCCCGTGGGAGCCGGAGGAGGGACACCTGGGGAGCAGGTGGGAGTGATAAAGAAGCGATTCTGGAGGAAATGATAGTTGCCTGAGCCTTCGGGACAAAGCGAGCAAGCCATGTACAGAAGGGGTGGGGAAGGCCTTTCAAGCTGAAGGAACAGCCTGTGCCAAAGCCTAGAGGCCAGACCACAAAGACATTCCACCCTTGCAGGGCCCACAATAAGGAGCCAGGGTTATATCAGGGTGAACTGAGATGCCCCAACTTGTACAAAGTAGCAAGCCCCCTCCAGCGAGTAGCTGCTCCCATGCTTAAGAAACAGCCGAGCCAAAGAGGTTCTCATGTTATTTAGAAGCCGCTGTTCACACAACTGCCAAGCAGGACCCAGATCGATGGCACTTAAGGAGAGACTGTCTTGGAGGCTGGCTTGGGTTCGGCCTTGGTGCTGCTGTGGGTATCAACTCATCCACTATTGGCAACTGAACCTGGAAGGGAGGTCAGGCGTCATACCGTGTCGAGAGAGTCTCCAGAATAAAAAGTGGGGTGCCTGCTGAAGGCAGATCTGTTTCATCCTGTGCAC